TGTTGCAAGTTGAAGCGATCGAACGACAGTTTGAAACATTGGTGAAAATAGTTTATAAACAAATATCGTTTGACTTCCGACTCTTCAGTCAATCATGATAAGTTGATTGAAAAATGTATTAATTCAACAATCTCTTTAGTCTGAGGCTGTTCACATAAAGACTTATGACTTTTCGTTCAATCAACTTTTACGAATAAATATCATGATAGGAGGAACGAAATACTTAGTCAATTTCATCGAGTATCTAATCGCTTATCTCGAAGGTTCGAGTTATTTTCATTATTATTTGTAATTTGATTTTACACTAAATGTTACAAAAGTCAAGTCGATGATATTCAATTTGCTATTTCAGTTCAAACTGCAATACTTTAATTCACTTGAATGAAATAGAGCAAAAGTCAAGGTACTTTTAAATGGATAATTTTATTGGAAATTTTCATGTAACTCGATATTGTCATGAAACAATCTAAATTTGCAATTCAATTAATTTGATTGAGCAATTGCAGTTGCCTAACAATCAATTGATAATGTAACCATATATCAATCCATTTTTCGAACTGAATTAGAAAAGCTTTCTACTCTTGTACGTTCGTCTGTACCGATAAATCGACAACCATTAAAAATTCAATTTCGAAGTCAACTTGTTCTAAATTAAATTCAAGTTTCAAGGTCACTCAATTCATGAAATTTCAAATGGAATAAATTTTCTATGGAAAAAAAATCTAATAAAGTTTGCTTGGAATGGTTGCCATTGAAGTGCTATAGTTCAATGTTGAATGATAAGTTGAATGTTGACTATTTTGCCATGTTATTAGAGTTTTATGTTAATTCAAAATTAGTGAAAGAAAAATGATTTGAAAATGAAGAAAGCAAAATGTTGCCAACTTTATTTGAAAGCCAACAAAGTTGCTTAGTTTTACATTTTTTGTTTCAACTTTTCATGTAACTCTGTGCATTACATTTTCAGTCATTTTATTAGATTTTTTCACTTTTCCCTGAATACGAAAATTATTATCAACCATATCAACTATCAATATTGCAATATCGCACAACGAAAAAAAGAAACAGGTTGACAGTTTTTTGCTTCCATCATCTGCTTCTTCTTCATCATCTCAAACCTTATTTATCCTGGTGACAGGTTAACCTCATTTTTGTGACCAAACATTTTTTTGCCAGCAATCTCTCAACAAGTTCAGCATTTTGAAAAGAAGTGCGCAAAAATGTAATAATTCAAAGTTGTTTTTCTTCAATAAATGCTGATGAATTTTAAAGTCCAAGAGGTTAATCTGATTCTATAAGCATGATGAAAAGAGAAGAAAAAATAACCGCAAAAAGTGTCATTTTGTTGGTGCAAATAAAAGGTAACAAAAGGTAAACTTTTGCAAAAGTAATGTTCCCTTTGAGTGAAAGAATTGAAATGATTACAATATTAATAGTCTCAAGACTGTGCTGCCGTTTGACACGGCCAACAATGATCATATAATGGTGATAAAAGTAATAACAATAATGATAATGATGATGATGGACAATAAAAAAATTGTTGCCAAAGATGTTGAACAATGTTGTCTACAGGGAAGTTTGTTATTTGCATTTTTGGTCAACTGATTTTTGGATGTGTCTGTGTGTGAAGCAAGTGAAGCCACAGGAAAGAGCAAAATGACATTGAAAGAAGTCGACATTGAGAAGTGATAAAAAGGCCATTTAATCGGTTTAGTTGTTCACAAGAGACTACTGACTCTAGTATTACGTGTAAAGAGGAAGGATGATGATGATGACTGTGATGATTGTCATGATAATGATGATGAGGAATGGGAGTGAGTACAACTTTGTGCCTCCTTTTTTTTATGGTTACTAAAGTTATCATGAGAAAGCTTATTATTGTTATTATGCACATAAATAGGTATTTCAATCTTTTGTTTTGCTTCTGTTCAACATTCATGTAGTTTTTATTCCGTCAAGGATAAAAGTCACAATATGAAAGGGCAATTTAAAAGCGTGAAAATAACGCTCTTTTCAAACATTATCAAAACTCTCCTGTCCAATGGGACTTTTGTACTCATGTTTAACCTCAATCACTTGAATCTATTTTTTTGCACTCTTTTTGGCACCTTTTATTGCTAACTTAAATCAAAGTTTTTAACAAACTTCGTCGCCCTTTTTTGGATTATTTCAGTGAAAAGAAAGCTTATTAAACTGAAAACAACTTTTATTGTCATTTAAAACTAGTCATGTCTTTGATGACTTAAGTCGATTCGTATCATTAGTCTGCTTAGTTTTGCCAATATCACCTGATATCTATCATCATTCCAATCAATGACTATGTCATGATATACATCAAATGCTTCACTTTGAAATTGACTATTAGATGAAATGTAAGCTATACCGGGCATTTTTTCATTTTACACCTATTTGTAGCCATAACTCACGAACGTTCTATCGGAGGTCAAATAACGGATTGACTTTGAATGACCTTGAGCCAGCGGACTTATAATTCTTAAATCTACAGAAGACCATGGTGTAAGTTCTTTAGCATGAGCCGTTGTTGAGTTATGGCTGCGAATAGGCGTAAAATAAAAAGCATGACAGGCACATTTACGCTGGCAATCAATATCAAGCTACTTTCATTGTTCATTAAACGACGACCAGCTTTTAGTTGCATTTCTTGATTTATTTGATGGTGCGCTAGGTGCTGAAAGAGGGATTATCGAACACTCAAGGAAAGAGGTCGCCTTTAGAAGCGCGGACTACATACGCCATTGGTTAAAGTTCTTGTCAAGCTTAGTGCATCTGTAAATCTATTTGGTACTCCAGTTATTGTTTCCAGCTTCAAATTTAAAAAATGAAATTCGGCTTCGACAACGTAGCTCATCATTTTGGTGTAATCAACGGCTTTACCTGAATTTCGTAGTTTATCAATAATCAAAATAAATCATTAAACTTTTCTGCCGCAGTTGAGCCAAATTTATTTCTGGCGATTGGCAGCGTTTTTGCTTGTTACAGTAAAACTTAAACCAAAAAGGACTTCAATTTTGAGGTAAACATAAAATCACAATTTTAGGCTTCAAGCTTCCAAGGCAGATTTATTCTCACCCTTTGATTTTAATTGCATTTTAAGCAGACAATGATCGGGTTTAGCTTTATGTAAATTGAACAAAAGCATTCAATGTTTCACTAATCCTAACTAAACAAGTGCGATGCTAATAAGCAATATGATACAATATAATCATAGGATTAAAAGGCGATCCTTTTCATCATTTTCATGTTCAACTTTTACGCTCCTAATCCAGCTCAGGGTTTGATTGGCTCATCAAATATGTTGCTATTAATTTACTCAGATTGCTTAACATCGTCAGTCAAACTTTGTTTCAACTGTTCATTTCAAGACAAAAAAAGGTTGGAAAAAGTTGCTTACAAAGATTCACTAATCTGGTTCATCTTGTTATTCAAATTGATTCACTTGTTATCCCAACTCAACTCATCCTTTAACCTTTATTTTTGCTTCCTTTTAAGTAAATTATCCAAATCTCTGCTCGTTAATCATTACAATTATCATTAACTTAACTCTTCCCATCTAATTAACGTGTTTAAACTAACCCAATTAATAACAGTAACCATCTGTGTAACAATCCGTTAATCTAATAAGATGAGAGACAAAAAACTGAGTTTAAAGATTAAAAGGTTAAACAAAGTTGTGAGCAAAATGTTTCAAGTTTTCATGAAAAAAATTGTTCATAAATTGAAATTTTGTCTTCATCTTATACTTAAGTAATCATTGTCAGCATTATCATGTTAATAAGATTTGAGTGGTGAAACAAAAAAAGGATAACATTGGAAAGGAAAACTTAATAAGCCAAGCCCAATCAGAGTTATTCACTTTTTAATACAATTAATGAGCTCCAATTAAGCTTTTGTATCATCAAATTTAATGATCAAGAATCTTTCAACTCATTATTTCAACTCTTTACCCTTTTCAATGTAAAAAAATAACAAATGCTTAGCAACCTTAATCATGAAAATCATCATTTTTTAAGTTCAACATTAATTTGTACAATTGCGATTGAAAAAAAGGTAAATCACAATTTCCTTTTTTGCATTACCTTAACAACCCACTTTTTTGCGTTTCATTTTGTAGAGTCAATCGTTTATTCACAAGAAATTATTCAATTTTGAATCAAAGTCGCATTCAACTCTTTGATTAGTATTGAGGTGCTGATTGTCGTTTTTTAAATCAATCAATCATTTCGACTTTAATGTGAATACATTTGAGCCACTAAACTTTTATTAATGCGTGCGTTGTGGGGAACCAAAGATATCTTGACACTAACATTTTGGTGAAATATTATTTCATGAAAGAAGTTGAATTTTGATTTAAATTTTTTATTGAAAGTATTTCGGTGATTTAACCTTTAAAGGTTTGTAATAATGTTGATTTGATTTGAAGGAGAAGTAAATGGGATGATTATCGCTTTGATTATCACATTAGGTGATCTTGTTTACATCTAAATAGGTGACAATATCGAGTAGTTGATAATGTGTCGGTTAAAATGAAATAACATTCATTTGTTTAAAGACCATTTACAATTGTTAAATGGCATTTCACAAGTTGCTGTCACTTTCCTTATCCTCAACCAATAACCCAACTTTGCATGGATCATAACCTTAGTACACAAGCGACTCTTACTGTTCAATTTGTTTCTTCATCCCCTGAATAATAACTTTAAGATAATGTTATAAAAAGAAAAGGGAAAAGGTTAACTTTCATTTTTAGCCTTTTTTACACCTAAATTGAGTATAATTTTGTCATTATAACCACAACAAATGTCATAAGCAAATCCATTCAATAATATTGGAGTAACAATATATGGACAAGAATTGGATTTATTGCACTTGTTAACTCGTTAAATTGTTGCCAATAATCTATGTATTTAAAGTTGTGATCATTCTCATCATTTAACTTGAATGTAAAGCAAATTCAAGTCAACAGTAATTTTCAGTTGAATATTAAAAGTACAAAAATATGTGTTGAGATTATTGGAAGCAATAAGTTCAAGATTGAAATAACATTTGGTTTATTGTTTGGTCATTTTACCATGATAATGTTTAAGTAAATGTAATGAAAAAATTTGACACAAAATTAAGTGTTGAAACTGAATCTAGGCTCACAATCAATTGTAAGCTGATGAACAAATTGAAATGCATTGACGACGCCCACATTGACTTACTCCAACCCACAAGAGCTTCAAACACCCTGTATATGGTCATAGGTGTGTGTGAGTGTGCGTATCTTTTGCACAGTGTTTGATGATCACACAGTGAGAGAGGAAGACGCAGACAAGCTTAAAGTTACTTTGGTGAAACAACATTCAACTGACTGAGAAAATTGTTGTTTTTTTGTGTTGTTGTTTCGTGTATCCCAATTAAGCAATGGAAGATCGTCCGGATGATGATTTGTGTTCAAATGAAAGTTCAATAATGGTCAACAATCAGCCAAGTGATAATGACGCTATTGAAGCTTCTGATAATGTTAATGTGACTACTACTTGTTCCAATTCGGTAAACAACAGTTTACCCTCGGCTTCATCTTCATCTTCATCATCTTCATCCTCTTCATCATCCTCATCACCCTATTCAACTCATCACAATTCATCGACACAAGGTTCAGCCCCTGGTCCAGGTTTATTTCATCCAACAATAAGATCTGTTTTTCCATTTTCAAATTCACCCATGTGTGTACCTTTTTCACCCTTTTACGGTCACTCTTCTTATGGGACTCAAATCACGACAACAGCTCACCATGCATATGCCACACAGATAAACTTATTCAACAATTATCTTGCTCATGCAGGTAAGTTTACGTTTCCATTGTTTCTCAAATGATGAATGGCTTTCAACTCTAAACATGATACTAGTCTTTGGCCGGTGATGAAAAGCTTTTAGGAAACGGCACACCTTAAAGTTGTAGTGAGACAGAAGAAGGCAAATTAGGATAAATTTACACTAAAAGTATGAGTAAAAAAGACGATCATTTACATCATTGTTTTCAAGTAATCGATATCAACAATTACTAAAGGCTAAAGTTAGCTTTGAAATCAACAGTAGTCTCCGGAATGAGACAATAATGTTGATTGGAAAAATTACATTGATATAGTAAATATCATTTTGACTAGACTGTGTACTTTACCTATTTTAGAGGGGAAAAGTGATTCGTCGTCTAATTGATCTTGGACTCAGGTCATCAAATAACCAATACCAAGGGTTAGGAAAATGGTGGTAACCGTTTTCAAAATGAAATAACATGTCAGTTTTGATTTTTTCATTAGATTTTTTTAGAGAAAATTGAATCTAATATCTTTCATTTGGTAATATGATCGTAGTTTTGGAACAGATAACTTGCAGATCGATTTTTAAAGAAGTCGATGCAAAAAAGTTTTTGAAACTTATGGGAAGATTAACATGTAAAAATCAAATTTAGTCGATCTCCCATAGACACGCCATGTTAAACTCTAGAAAACTTTTTTCAATGAATCTTTTTAAAAATGGATTTGTGCGCTATTTATGCATGCCAAAACTTCGAACATAGTATCAGATGAAAGACAAAAGACTGAATTTTCGTTTTGGAACAAATTTTTAATATAAAAGGAGAATTTATTTTATTTCATCTTGAAATAAGTAACATTATTTCTTAACTCTTGGTATATTTAGGCGCCGAACATTTAATCGGTTTTTTAACAGTTTGACCATCAGCCCAATGATATTCATATTTAGGGCCAGCAGACATAACGGGACAACGTTCTTCAGTACAGAACTCTCTTATTGTACCATATAACATGTTGATCTGATTAAAAAAGTCAACTATGTTAACAGCTATCCATTCATTAAGATCTTCTCCTTCCGGTAGCATAACAGCTAATCTTAAATTGCCAGAGCCTAGAGTTGCAGCCGCATGTTTCATTAAATCATATTGATGTGTTCCTTCGTCTTTTTGGGCCTGAAAGTTATCGACATTTTCAGTGAATAACTTTACTTTCTTCCGTTTTCAGCACTTTCACGCCCCTGGTCCCGTCCTCGATCACCAAATCAACCCTTGAAGTGTCCACTTTGCTTGGTTTCCCTTGAAGGAAGTGATATAACCTCACATTTTGTAGAAGAGGTTAAACAATTGGAAGCCCTTAGAAGGTATGTTTCACTAACTAACAACTTTAAATGTAAATGTTCATTCAACTAAAATAAGATCAATTATCGTTAATTTAACCACAAAAAGGTGAATCATGATCTCATCTGAATACAAAAAAAATGAAAAGTAATCAAGTTACCAATGAAACATTAGAAGAGTTGAAATGATGAAAAAAAATCATGAAGAGGAAAAGCCTCTCTCTGTGTCTTCGGCATTTGACAAACAGTAATAAATGAGGTTAAAAGTAAAGTTTACTCTCGAGACTTACAAATCTTTCATTGTCTTAGATTCCTGTTCATTTCCGACTCTCCATTTTCATTGAGTTGACGATGAACGGCTGGTATCCTTTAGTCTGTCAACTGCGGTTAATCATCATTCGGCTTGGCCCTTTGATGACCTCAGTAATCTGGACGAAAAGGAAAAGGAAAAAAAGGTCATAAAGAGAGTAAAAGAAGAGAAGAGCAGCAGAGTAAAAAAAATTTATCAATTAACATGGGTAAAGAAGAAGAGAAGAAGGAATGAAACAAAAGTAGTAACTAATGGGGTGAAGAGAAGGATGAAAATGATGAGCTTAACGACTAATGACAACCGTAAAATGAAGAAGATTAGTGAAGATGGAACGATGATGATGAACGAGAAACAGAAAAGGTTACTTTAAGTTGCTTTAATAAACAAAAAATGTTGACCATTTTATTTCATTTGTAAAGTTATCGTAAAAAAAGCTCAACCCAAGAGTCGTAAAGTCTTTAGCTTTTTGTCAATAAAAAACGCTTCCAATAACTTGATTTCAAGTAAACATTTTTTTTTTACCTTTAGCTTTGAAATGCAATACAGTTTATCATGAAATGCTCTTCTCTTGAAATGTATTCATAAAAGCATTCATCAAAGTTGATTGAAAAAATGGTTTCGTTTATTAAACAAATGAATACTTTGGTGTGTTCATTGCAACTTGCTCAATAGACTTGAGATATCATGTAACCACCATTATCATCATCATAATTCATTGAGAATCCATTAAAATGGCAACTATTATTTTAAATAATTGAAACTTTTTTTTCTCTCCCTTCCCTTGCAACCCTTTTAACCCAAACAATTAACAAAGGCAATGGAAGGAACAAAAAATTGTCAACTTTTTGTTCCCCTTCATCTTATTTTACTTGACTGATGACAATTTATCATTTTTAATGCTTATTATTTTGTCAACACTTTTGCCTCAACCTTTAATCATTTACTCAATCAATTGTTGCCATTAAATTCACTTTAACCTTTTGTAAAAGACTTTATTATCGTTCAATTATGATTCAAGTAAATGATAATGTTGATGAATCTTAAACGATTTCATTCATTGTTTCATTCCTTGATTACACTTGTTTCGAGTTAATGATTACATGTTATTAATTATTCTTAATGAGTTTAATGAATAACATTGGACATTAAGTGTTGAACAGGCAATTAAACAAACTTTTTTTTCACTCAAAATGATTTTTTTTTCTTCTCTCTTCAGTCGTCTTCGTGGATGGGAATCAAAGGAAAACAATTTAACTGATGTCGATATAAAAAAAGAGTTAAACGAACCCGAAGATGGTTTCAAAAGATCTCGATTACATTCAGACAAGATTCCTCCCTGTACACGTTGGCAGGTAAATGATACTTTGCTCATAACCTTTTGACAGCAAAATTGACCTTTTTTTTCTTTTCTCATTTAGACATATCAAAGAGTCAAACAGAATCGTCACACAAGGATATCAGGTATGTAATCATTTACTTAGTGTTGATTTAGGCTTAATTTGCGATTCTTTAAACTGACAATTTTTATCAAGTTTCAACTCGAGTCGAGTTTTCAGTCGTTTTTTTCAAGTCAAGTTTCATTGTACCTGCGAGGTTTTATTTGACTCTTTTGTTGATCAGATTTTTCTTCACTTGATTTAGACAAGGTAAAGCAAGCTTGGTAAAATGGATTGATTGAAAGCGAGTTTTGAAAGCCCAAATTGAGTTATGGATAGTCAATGAAACCCATTTGCCCAAATACCTGACCAACTCTCACCCATCCTTATACAACCTGAAAACTGTGCCTTGTGACCCTTGAAATGCCCTCAACCAAAAAACACAAAGTTACAGTAAATTTGCAACCCAATTGAACTTGGACTTAATCAATTTTTGTCGGACTTCAACCGATAGTTTCAAGTTTAAAAACTGGCCAATCGAATCACTGGAGGATCAATTTCAATATCCATGATTACTTTCAATATAAATATTTCTTTTTTTCTCTTCTTTTGCAATTCTTTTTGTACAATCAACTGATTCTGGTTGAAATTTAGATGTGATTAAATGCAATTTAAATAGTAAAGTATTGAGTGACATTTATTTTCATTGCAATTTCATGCCAGTTTGTCTGGTCAGGATTGAGTCAAGTTGAGCCTAAAAAATGAATACAAGTGAAGAGCGAAAAAATTGACTTTTTTTATTCTCTGTTTTCTCTGTAAAGGTATTTTAAGAACCAAAAGGTACGATGAGCAAATTAAGATGGAAGACTCAACAACAACATCATCATCATCTTCAACGATTACATCAGCGACTACCTTTAAACCTGTTAATCGAGGTATTTGGACAATTGTTGATGACATTAAGGTAAGATAATGTCAATGTTTTCCTTTACTTCATCAACAAGAAACCTCATTATCGCAACAGTGCCAGTAGCTCGAGCATCATGTTGATCATTATTATCACGATAATAATAATCATCATCATCCTTCCTTTCACTTCATTTTTACAACACCTACACATCTTCCTATTATCGTTATATTATTATTGTTGCAGTTTAACAACAACAACAACAGCAGCAGCAACAGCAACAACATCAACAACATCAACCATAAAACAATAAACTTATAGGAAGAAGAAAAGAAGATGAAAGAAGAAGAAGAAGAAAAATGTAAAATAAAATAGAAGACAAAAGATGAATGAGAAGAAATATGAAACATCTTCATCTCATTATTTCCTCTTCCGTTCCTCATTTTCCTAAATCTTTCTTTTTGCACACCCAAGAATCAAGACTTACCCAGAATGCTCGATTGTTACAGGACGATAGGAATAAAAAGATGATACGATCCATGAACCATCATCATCATCATCATCACAATATCAATGATAATCAAGACAATCTTGAAACTGTCACAATAAGTAAGTAAACCCACTCTAATGATACTTAAAGTCAACCTGACAAGTGAAGTCTTTAGCATCAACTTTTGCTCTTGAGTTGACCTCAACTCGTTACAGAGGAAAGTGTCAAAGAAATTATTTTAAACTTTGTCTTCAATCTTTACTTCGAACTCATTTTTATCGTCATTTTTTCTTGTCTTTTTTCTCTTCTTAGGCGATGATAACTCGCTACCAAGCACTAAGGACTGTGAAAATGGATCAATAGATGATTTTGAAAATCAAAATGGAACCAATTGTGACAATAGACGAATTTAAACATTTGATTAGTTCATTTGTTTCCGAATGCCGTTAACTGTTGAATCAACTGTATTATTAACATTCCCTTCGATTTCTTCTTTATCTTCATACCTCATCATGGATCATCATAATATTCATGTCAATCAACTTTACCTAAACATGAACACTCATGATTATTATTATGATTACAATTACAATTGCGAACGAGAAAAAAATACTATTAATATTATAATTATTATTATTACTATTATTATTATAGCTAAAACTGTAATTGTACATAACGGCAAAATTCAATTGTAAAACTTGACACAACTTAACGGTTTAAATGCAAAAAAACAATACAAGAAACAAAACTGAGAAACAAAAGGCAAAGAAAAATGTAAATATTGAAGTCTCGTTTGTAAAACATCGCAATCAAAAGAATGGTTAAACAAAAATTTAATGGTTAAATAACAATTAAAGCAAATCGATTGTCAAACAAACTGAAACGCAACCATTTTAATCGTTCAAATTGTTGAAAACTTATGTTCATTAATAAATGCAAAGACTGTAAAGACCGAAATAGCCAAAAGTTAAATTGTCCTTTTATTACAAGTTATCAAGTTTATTGGCACAAATTGTTGAGGTGAGATTTTGTTGCAATTTTAATTGAGATGAAATCGATGAGAATGAAGATGATGGACGTTTGATTGTTGCTCGAAAAAGTGACTCGAAAAATGTCACCTATAATCTTATAACATGAACATCTTGAGACGCCTCTTAACATTTCAATCTCATCTTGTTTCAACTCCCCTTTACTCAACTCCTCCTACTCCTTTTATCATCTCCTATCTTCATGCTCATTCAGTCTAAATCTGTCTTTTTCCCTTTCTTTCCTCTCTTCTCTCATCAAGTTCATCATTATCATCCCAACTCATATACTCAACTATTAATACTGATGATTATGATGATGATAAATAATAATGATAATAATAATGATTATGATGATGATAATACTCGGCATCATCATTAACAACAACAATTCAACATTCATTTTCAAATCTTATTGGCATCATTAGAATCCGTTTAACAAGATTATTACTATGATTATTATCATTGTCGTTTCCATTGTTGATGCTTTGGTTACATAACATGAATCAATCAATCTAATTTGATTAAGTTGAACATTTTTCCGTCTTTTTGCCTCATCATTCATTTGTGGCCTTTTTGTCTTCTTGTGTTCAGTTGAAGAGTTGAACTTTTCCAGTTTAATCACTTTTGAAGGTTGAATGTTTACCTTTATTCATTGCTTCAATACATTAAAGGTAATGGTTGGTTAGGTTAGGTTGGGTTAGGTTAGGAAGACGTCTTTAAAAGAGGCTGAATCAGTGCATTGAAAATGATCTGAATTTTTTGATTGCAATTTAAAAGGTTAACATTTGCCAACTGACAATTTGATAGAAACTACTTCTTAATGAATAATCTTGCCTCAAGTTGACTCAATTTATTATATCTTAAAGCTAAATGGTGATATTTTTCAATAAACTTGACATGTTTTATGCGCAAGTTGAAAACTATTCAAAACAAACTCTCATCAACCATTCACTAATCACAGTAAATGTACTGCTAATGAGGCTATAAAATGCGACTATTCAACTGATTGAAAGTTAATCATTTGTTTACACTATTAAAGACAAATGAAAGTTTACTTTTTGCTGCTCGTCAACATTGACTAATACTTTCAATGTTTCATTTTAGCTGTAACATTGCGATAATTTGGATTGAACTCGATGATGATTTTGATCGGTTAAACCTTTGAAATGGTAAACTAATGGGTCACTAATCACTATACTACCAGATATACAGTCGACTCGTTATTATCTTATTGTAAACTCTTGAGTAAGAGTTTGGTTTCAACTGTGAGTGAAGAGGTTGGCCAAAAAAGTATTGACTAAAAGTTGAACAGAAACGAGTATAAGTTGAAGATGAAAATAGCTTAATGATGATAAGAAGATGCGAAAAAAAGACAATTTTGTGGACAAGTTAGATAATATATTGAATGAGAATATGGAAGTCAGGGAAACTTGGAATGGATAAAGAAAAGGATAGACATGAAGAAAGAAAAAGAAAAGAAGTTGAGTGGACTTATTGTAGATAAAAATGTGTATCTTGACCAGAATATGAATGGACAGAGTAAGATGTTGATGGGTCAAGAAAATGACCAAGTGATCAACGGCAGTTTGTAAGGTAAATATGATTAGTGGGGAAACTTTTTCTTGTTTGTTTCAGTTTTCTGCATCATCTCAATGATGATCATAATGATGATGATTATTAGGCTGCTGATAATAATAATATAAGTTGCTTAACACACTCTTGTTAGTTACAAAGTAAAGGAATGGAGAAGAAAAAAATCAGTTTGTTATTCCTCTTTTGTTCCATATTTTTTGTTCCCTTTTTTTCATATCACATTCCCAGCATCATCTTTATCTTCCTCTTTCCTTTCCATGTTCATATCTAGGTAAAGATGAAGCAAGAAGTTTTATCATCATTCTGTGATTTGCAATCCCAACAAGTATTAAGATCAATTTGCTTTATTACATGCTTTAGTTTCTTTGTTAGTTTTTTTTTCATTTTTTGGTGACTCTTTTTGGGTGAAACAAAAGTGTACAAAGATTGGACACTTTTAGCTTCTGTGTACAGTTATGATGACAGGTTAATCCACAACGAATGGTTCCTCTTTATAGAAGCTACAAAGAGTGTCATTCAGCTTTCAGTTAAGCTATCCAAACCACAGAATGATAAACATTAACTCGATGTAACTCTAGACTCTTTCCTTGATCACCATCCAAACCTAGAATGGTCTTATCTTTAGGTTACAGGGACATTCACTTGACTGAAACTGTCGAGTCAATGAAGGCAACCAAACATACAGATTAAAGTTTATTAATGGTTGATTAGTTAATTTGCTTTTCAAATGCAAACATTAATTTTTCACAATCAGACAAAATAAGCCGATATCGTTTGTTATTAAATTGCTAAATTATTCCGAGATTACTTGAAGCAATTTATCCCTCAATTAACTTAAAACCGACTTTTTAATCCATTACATGAATTGTTTATCAAGATAAAAGCGACTTTCATCAAAATTAATGCAAATGTATAACTCAATGTATTTAAATCGATGATACAAAGAGCTTTTAATCGACACAAAACACCAACTAAGAGTCATGGGATTCTTGAAACTTTTCAACAAATTATTTTCTCAGGACTTGGTCATTGTTGAGCTCATGAGGAATAAGATGAAAACTTATGAGTAAACCCTAAGACGATGCTGTACTCTGAGTTGACCAACTTAACTTGAAGTCTCCAATTTTCTGACCCAACTTGATTATTCGCATTAATTGTGTAAAAGTTTTTCTTTATCAGATGAAAATTAATGTTGACTCATTGATCAAGATGAATGGATACAAATTGTTTCCCGTTATCCTGATACCCAATCCATCAGGTTATACTTTTAGTAACTTTACCATTCCAATTACATCCAAGGGATCTGTAAAGGTTTTAAAGCTAAAGGCAATCCCTATTGTTTGAATGTATTCATTTCTTCAAGTTTTTTTTGTCTTTTCTTGTTATCCAACTTGGATGAGAGGGGAAAAGGAAGCAGCAAAAAAAAGATGATGAAGATGAAAAAAGAAAGATGAGAAGATGGAAAAGTAATCCAAGTAAAATCCTACTTTTGCAAACATATTGCCATGCAAATTGGGAATGATAAAACGTTGAGTCGAGAAGAAACAAAAAAGGACAACAAATAATTGGAAAAAGAAGGAAAAAGCTAAGAAAATGAAGAAGAAGATGAAGATGAAACTATTATTCATTTCACTTTTTCCCTTGCCATCATTGACTATACCAGGTGTGAATTACATTTGAACCAAGTGACTAGTATAACGGTAATCAGTTACAGTCAGTCCCTTACGATTAACTGGAGCTTCAATTTTCAGTAAACTTTTCCCTTCTGTTCTGAGCACTTTCGTTCTCGATACTCTTTTCAGTTCAATGTTTCTCATCAGTCAACTTTTTTTCGCTGTTGCGATAAAGCAAATATAATGGAAAGATGATAATAAAGCGCGCACATGGTTAACATCATATGGTCATTTATAAAAGTGAGAAAACCTTTAGAAGCTCATTTATCACAAAAAGTTGCACACACAATCCTGGATATAACAACAATAATTTATGGTCCAACTATGGGTTAAACAAATAGAGGTTAGCAAGGAGACCATAAAAGCATGATTATTACACGCGTCGACAGTTACATTACTAAATGGGAGGATGAGAAGGAGGAGGAGGTGGAGGAAGAAAGAAGAAGATGAAGATGGATGAAAGAGAAGATATTCTTAGTCTTTTTCTTCCTTTACCTAGTCTCTCGTTCTCTCTCTCCTTCTTTCTGTGGTTGTGCGTCTGTGGCAACTTCATTTTGATTTTTGTGGCAAAGTCAAAGTAAGCCGATTCAAGCCAATATATCAATTTGAAATGAAGCATAACCAATAAGCCAAGAGGCTCTAAGGTAATAACCAAATTTCACCCTTAATCCCCATCCCATTATCAGACAATTTGATCAGTTAACCAACTGTTAACCACACAGTCTTTCCGGATTTATACCCTTATTAGCCTCCATATCTGTACCGGTACAGAAACAACTCATGTATTTACATTGATAAAACACATTGTTCATTACTATCATCTGATAACATTAATAACCAGAGAAAGTGAAAAAATATGAAAACAGAATATGCAGAATAATTTCAATTTTTATTCTTGATTATGCTCAAGATATGCTTTTTTCAATTACATAACTCAGTGAAACAATTTACATTGTAATTTTCAGCTGATCTCTTCCTCTTCTCTTCGTCTTCTTTCTCTGAATTGTCATGTTTTTACATTAAGTCTTGCCGTTCTCTGGTAAGTCTCTTCGTATCTTCACTGGCATTTATCGTAGTTTAACCTCATAACGGCTTGTGGCAGCTGGTCAAATAACTCTTAAATTCAAACAAAATGACCAGTTTTAAACAAAATCAGATGATTTTTGTTTTCATAACAAAGTCACATTTTGTTGATATTTTATCTTATAAATGATTTTTGTTCTCAACCAAAAACAGTTTATTCAAATATGTTGATTATTTTTCAATCCACCTTTTCAATCAAGCAAAATAACCCTAAATATTCCTAAAAAAGCATTTTTTTCTTCGAAATATTCCGATACAATCGAAGAATATTCTTTGCCTTTCTCTGAATTTACAACAATGAACCTGTAATTATTTCGCGTAACTGTTGGCTCTCCATATTCAGAGTTTCAATTCAAATAGAATTAGTTTGCGATTTGAAATTTGCACAAAACTGTCTTTGCCAATTTGATTGAATTTTAAATAAAAATGTCTATCAGTTGATGAAGCAGAATCAAATGGATTCTTAGTTATACACGATGATCAGAGCGACATTGGAAAATCTTTTGAAAAATTGGATGAAACTGATTCTTAACTGATGTTTGAAAGTCAACTGAGCGAATGGTTGGTGAATGGTTAAACTTG